CTCGAACAACATTGCTGAACAGAGCCGAACCGAAGTTAACCCGAACGGAATCATTTCTGAGTCGACCTTCGTGTTGTATACATTCGTATGCTGTGCCGTGCTTTTATTTTCCAATTTTATTGCAGTGTAATACATTGATTCCTATTGGAAAAAATAGTTTCGGTTTACGAACAATTCAGGTTACGAACAGCCTTGAAGAACGAATTAAATTCGTGAACCGAGGGTCCACTGTATGCATAAATTTGAAACTAATATAACTAATTTATTACACTTATATAATATTGGATAATAAACTGTTTGATTATATTTTTCAATTTGCCATGTCTGTTAATTAAAAAAATTTCTTTGGTAAGATAGAAGCGGGCGTTAAAGAGGATAGTGTTAAAATTGAGTTAAAATTAATGAAAGGAGGGGGACTTACGCCTCTTCTTACAAAAAAAAAGAGCGGCAATTATCGATACACTAATAAATTATAACCTCAGTTAACCTTCTCACTAATTACTAATTCTTTACCTACCAATATATGCCACATGTATGAAGCATTTAAGTCATTAGAACATCAAAGGGGCAGCAAGCAAAATAATATTGAGAAGCACTGGTGTATAAACATACTGACAGATATAGAGATATGCAGATAATTAGGTAGATAGATAATAAGAGCTGGCCACTCGTATTCGAGGATACCCGTCTACTAGGGTGGCTAGACAATCGCTATTGCAGACGCTCGCTCAAACACATTTGTATTTATTCAACCTGTGGTTTATGCTGCAACTATGCTGAGCGTTACAGTATCTAGGAGAGAGCCTGTTACCTAGAATGATCAACAATTTGAACAAAACCTCGGTCACGATGACTTGTTACTCAAAAAAAAAAAAAGCACAGCTATCGACGGCCCCTAGTGTTCCGTCAACCCAATTTCATTCGCAACTGGCACGGTTTTCAGGCACTTTCCAAAGGTGCCGCACGCTGGGAGATCGTCCCCCACTCCAGACCGATAACACAAGGAAGCCTCCTTCCTGACAAATCGACCATGATGAAATTCGAACACGGGTCTCATGGTCAGAAAGCGAACGTTCTAACGTTCACTCAGCCACGCGACTACATGTAGATAGATTGGGGGGGGGGATTTGACAAACGCTTCATAAAACATTTCGAAATAAAAAGAGGACATTTCTGACAAGCTTCATGAATCAAAGTATGTTGTTCTATTCAACATCTCTATCACAACGATTTATTATTTATCTAAGCTCAGCATAAATTTTGTTACAACTACTTCTAAAACAATAAAAGTTTTAATTAATACAAAACGAACTAATACACTAAAACTTGAAGGAGGAATTTACTTTGTCACCTGTAGTAATTGCCACAAGTAATACATAGGAGAAACCTCAAGTTTATATGAACACAAAGAGATCTTTTCTCAAAACAACACACTAAATGCATTAGTTGCTCACCATAATACGTCTGACGATTATTTTGGTTTAACAAATACTACTCAAATTAAAAGTGAAAGCAATTTACTAAGACGAAAATATACAGAAAGTGCTTTAGTCGCTGGATCATCCACAGCAAATTTACGTCCACATTTCATGTTTCTTGGCATAATTTCTATTATCACAATATGGAATATTTAATTATAGCAAAAATGATGGGAGACCTATGATCGGGAGATAGAAGTATGGAACCATCTCTTGCTATAGTTTCTAGGTCCAATGTTATCCGTGGTGGTAGCACCTGTTAGGGTCCCGGCTCCTGGCAAATAGTGAACCCCCAAAATAAAAATGAAAACAGTATGAAAAAAAAAAGAAATACATTTTTATATTAAAAATACCAGCGATACATATATAAAAAAATACCAACAGACAGCTAGACACGAGAATACATCAAGACGAACCTAGGAAAATTAGGAATGGTACATTCTATGTTTGCGACGTGGTCACAACGCATATGGTTCTGTCATCGCTGAGCATTTTATAAATAGTCCAAAATGTGCCACCAATTTTAGCATTCACTCTTTTACCATCATTAGTCATGCTCATTCTTTCTTACATTTGAAGGCATTAGAAACAATCTATGTCAAGTCCAGACAGCCTTCCCTCTGCAAACAGAGGGAATGTCTGTTAGGACTTGACGTTATTTCATTCTGATTGTTCTGCCTTTAATATATTACGTGTATTTTATATTTTATATTGTAACATTTATTTCCTCGATTCCAGCTATGTTGAGTGAGGACGAAACTCGTCGGATGGTTTTTTTTTTTAAATCATGAACGCTAAAATCGGTTTTGTCTTTTGTATTTCTGTAATAATATACCAACAATACGTATTTATAGAAAAATTGCCAACAATACATCAATTTAGATGAAAGAACTCTTTCATGACATTAATCCATATAATATCCTACAATTACTTAAATCAAATTGTATTCCAAAATATAACTTTAACAAAACTACAACATATCACTGTCTCTTGTAATTATGCCCACACAAACATGTATATGCACAAAAGCTGAATATCATCTACCATGTATTGAATTGTGAAATCAGAATAAGATGTATCATATTGTTATTACTTCAAATCTCTCACAAAAATTAAATTTTGGCATTAAATGACCCATAAGAAGTTGATATGCCATTAAACAAACAAATCAAATCAAAAGCGATGGAAACATGAACAAAAAGAAACATAAACTAAATGAAATCGGCTAGATTATATACCCAAAACACATATTAAAAAAAATCCGAGCGTCATCTTCTTTGTGCGCATGTGCAGTAGCATTAGCGTAAACATCACTTTAGTCCGATGAAGTCCTAAAGGACGAAACGCATCACATGATAAATATTTCCACGTTGTCAGATTTTTCCGCCTAAAATTTTTCTGTGATATATAAATATTTATATATCGTTTTCCTATAGATAGAAACAAAAACAAATACATGGGTTGACGCAAGCGTTCACTCATAGAGGGGTGGGGGGGTCAAGTAGAAAGAAATTGCATACATGCAGAGAGATTACATTATTATAATCTCTGTATTGTAAAACAATGTCAAAATAAAGGTAGTGCAGAATATATATATATATATATATATATATATATATATATATATATATATATATATATATATATATATGGAAAGTGTCTTAACAGATTACAGAAAATGTGACACTGAAATCCGAAGGCGTATAGGAATAGTGAAAGATGCCTTAAAGAAATAAACGTATTAAGAGACAGGAAAACAAAGTTAGTGAAAAGAAAACTAAACAAATAGGATGCAATATCAATCCTCTTGCATGTCATTGAAGACTCAAAAGACATCCACTTGTGATATAAGTTATGTAAGGTTGATCTCGGAGATCATTACAGGTTACCAGAGGCAAAAAAAAAAAAAAAAAAAAAAAAAAAAAACAAAAAAAACTAATTTGGTTAGGTTTGTTTTGGTTTGTTTTACGGCATATCAATCTCAATGGGTTATTTAATGCCGGCAAGATTATTGTTGCTTTTTTTTTTTTTTTTGATTTTCAAAAATCTATTGCTGGTAATAATGTATCATTGGTAATAATTTTGCTTCAAAAGTTTATTGCTGGTTATAATATTTTACAAAGTATTTATGGTATTAAAATCTATTTTTACACTTTCATAGTGTTTTGACCTCAGTTTGGTGATTAACTATTTACCCATAGTTGGAACCCTAACAAGTGCTATCACCCCGGGTCTGGGTGGACCTGGGGACACCAGCAATTAAGAGGTGGTTCCACGCCCCTCAAAACCTCCTGATCAGAGGCTTGCTGTTGGACGTACTTTATCGTCTTACCTAGGACGCGGATGTAGTTTATCGTTTACCCAGGACGCGGATGTCGTTTATCGTCTTATCCAGGACGCGGATGTAGGTTATCGTCTTACCCAGGACGGGAAACTATTTTAAATACAAAAAAATATCAATTTATAAGCACTGGTAACAAATAATTTTGATATAAGAATTTTCTCCAACCATTCTTCTGATTGTCACAATTTTGTGGTGTTTTATTTTTCATCACATAATTCTTTTTCGTCAAGTCTCACTAAAACACCCACGCACAGATACACCCTACCATCCCCCTCTTTCACTCTCCCCACAATTTGTTCCACAATTCCAATTTAATCCGTGAGGTATCGGTGTAAATAAGATCCTCTTGTATGGCAGTCAATGCTAAACAATTTCCTCATAGGGGAACAGAAAACTGAAGGCAACAAAAATGTTGTTCTACGGAAGGATAATGAGAATGCCATGAACAGCCCGTAAGGAATGAATAAGTCTTAAGAAAAATGTAATTAAAAAGACGCTTATATTAAGAATAAGAAAGTGAAAATTAAAATTTTGGGGACACATGATGAAGAAAGAGAGCTTGGAGAATTTAACACTCCCAGGACATATTGATGGCAAGAACGAGGGGTGGAAAGAGCGAATAAACTACCTATCAAGCTTGTATAGACGGATGGAAGAACAGGGAGTGCGAAGGATAGTAAATTGAAGAACATTCCTAAGAGCTATAAAGGGTAGGAAGTTGCAGAGAGCCATGACTGCTCACGTAATGAATATACACAGAACGCAGAATAGAGGAAGTTGAGGAGAGTTATGCGCGCCAACGTTTTGAAGGAACATGGAACATAAAATAAGAAGTCAACCAACTCGCCATGACAATTTTTTCTCTTAATAGGAATTTTTCTTAACCATCTTTCCGGTTTGACCGATTAATTGAGTGGTTTGTTTTGTTTACGGCTTATCAACCTCTTGCGGGTTATTTAAAGCTGGGACATATTTAAGGATTACATTATTTTTGGAGATAATGATTTTCTTAAACAAGTTCAACTATTTAACCCATAGCTGGGGAGAAGAAGTGGATTCATACCTTTCCCAAGAGTATCTGTGCGTATGTGAATATAATGAACCTGAATGAAATTCGAACTTGGATCTCTGAATTCTCATTCAGAGCCGTTATCAATTACACCGACGCACATCCATACTTACAGCACTTGGTATTTCCAAGATATCACCATCTAGGCACTGACCATGCTCGACGTTGCTTAACTTCGGTGATCGAACGAGAACTGATGTTTCAACGTGATATGGCCTCAAGCCTGTTTTTCAATATTTGTACTCGTGTGGAATAGATTTTTAAAGCATCCCATGAGTGAATGTTTTCTTTTTTATTGAAAAAAATGGAAAAGGTCATTGCAAAGAAATTGTGTTTTATCAGCGATCTGCCTTAGGGGCGCCATTTCTAGTTTATGATCAGAGTTGCGCATGCGGAATTAGTAAATACAGAACTTTATTTAACCACTTTCTCATATCAGTGGTTAAAAATAGCTTCGAGCGAATTAAGCTTGTAGGTTTTAGCGAGGATTATCCTTCGTCGAACTTTGTAAACAGGCGATATAGAAACACAAAAAAACTGTACGAATAGCAGAAGCTACCTCACTTGAGAAGTTTCAACAGCAGAAATAGCTAAAATCGATATTACTTATAACTCGAAGAGAAAATAATGCCATGAGGAAGATGTTGACTTTCCCCATCACTTCGGACAAAAAGCTTGCAAGGAAACTCCCATTACTATTGGAAAGAGCGATAACAGCTACTGGACTTGAGAAAAGTTTCTACTTTCCTGAATAATTATTTTAATAGAAAGATTTTAACCGAAAGTAGCACTGGCTGCTCGGTCAATGAATGGCGAATGTTTCCTTATAAGGAGATGGCTGATATTACCATTAATATTACTATCAACGTTCTGCCTTGCTATTTTTTTAAAATTCTGTTTCACCACAAACATGGCAGTAAAGCCACTAAGACACAAGAGGTTACTGGGTGTAGAAGAGTTAGAAACAGAAACATTGCTAATGAGCGAGAACAAAAGGAGAGTAATCAGGAGGACAGTAGAGATTGACATTGTATTTAAATTTTTACAGATCAAAGTTGACTGGAAAGCATGAAGACAGAAAGGAGTTCCACAAGCGAGAAGTTGGGAAAAGAAAACTTTTTCCGAGGTCAACGTACGAAGTGAACGCCAACAGCATTGGCTAAAACTTAAACTTGCTGATAAAACTTGACAACCAACTTGATAAAAGTGTTTTCTTATATTTATTGAATCACAACGGTTTTGTTAAAGCAAAATTTTGAAGCATATTTACATCGGGTGATGCACTCTGCTTGTACTGTTCTGTGGAGATATTCATTAGTATCAAACCGAATAAATAAATAAAAAAAATATGTCGTTCATTATTTTGTACGTTAGAAATTCTTTCGTCACGAATGATCATCGAAATGAGATCGAGTCCCGTTAGTACGTCATGATTGATCTCTTATTCAAGGTTGTATCGGATAACTCTTTGGAAAGATTCTCGTGGAAGGATCCATCATTGTGGCCATTTAAATGAGACAGCTGATGTATCGTTCAGGGATGAACCACATCAACGCGGGTTAACCTTCCTTTTTTTTTCACGTTTTTTTGGCGTGTTGCTGTTGATTGCTCTCCCTAAGAACACATCGACTTGAACCGACACGCGACCGTCCTTTGAATCGTGTGTGCCACTCCAAAACATGAGAACGACCTATTCTGACCCTAACCCAAGTATGTTCTCTAAGAAGCCTGACGACGAAGCATTTACAGTGCCTCGGTTGCGGATTTGCTGATCTCTATGCAAAATTTGAAGCAGACACGTTTCCAGTCATCGTAAAGGTCGCAGAACCGTTTCGAATGCAACCTTACAAAACCTCGCTTAATAATTTAGTTTAGTGGTTGACTGACTACCGATGAGCATCTTCGTCGAACAGGACCTGTGCAAAGATATTGCAAACGTTTGCTTTGTTAACGCCCGTGCCGTTGAAAAGCATATATTGGATATAAAAATGTGTTCACTAAAAGTATAAGGACGAAGTAGTTCGAGTGTCTTGGTTATTTAACATCAGGAAGAGATAATTAGGTTTCTTGGGCGCATAAGGAAGAAAGAGGGCTAGGAAAATGCGATACTCACAGGGTAGATTGAAGGAAAGAGAGACGGAGGAAAAAGGTTTAACATAGTGAGCTTGAGTAATGGATGGTGGAAGAGGATTTAGAAGAGATAACAGCATGACAAAATGTATTAAGAGCTACAAGGGAGAGGAAGTTGCGAAGAGCCATAATCACCTACGTCCTGAGGGAACACGGCAAATGAAGAAGAAGAAGAAGAAGAACCCTAATTCTTCGGTTAATTACTAGATAATCTCATGGCGAGTTCTACGACACTAAAATATCCGTAGAAGTTCCCGAGTTGCTTAAATATTTGGGTTTGACAACTTTAACAAAAATATTGCAATAACAATCATAAATATGAATGCTGGTCGTTATTTTAAGAAGTAAGGGGGTACAAATGAAAACATTTGAAATTAAGAACTTTTTCCATTTCACTGAAACAGCCGTTATACACTTGTTTCTTTCTTTCTGTTTCTCACTAGACCATCAAAACGGAATAGTCCATTATTTATGATGTATTGGCAGGAGACCTAACGGTCATGTCAATTAAGGAAGTGGGGCACAAGGACAATCATTATATGATTATCAAATTAATTATTATATTTTTATTATCATAGTTTAGCATTGGAACGGCTCTATGGCAGACATTCGAGTCATGTATTTGCATCACATTTTGCGTGAATCCCGGCAGGTCTGCAACCAAGACACTCGAACATCTTCGTCGTTATGCTTTTAGTGAACCTTCTTTAGGTCCAGTATATGCTTTTCAACGGCACGAACGTTAACAAAACAAACCTTTGCAATATCTTTTCACAGGTAGTACACTTTGACGTTACTGTTCAACTGAGATGCTCATTGGTAGTCAGTCAGCCACTAGACTTCGTGCTATCAAGGCGGGTGCAATTACTAAGCGAGGTTTTGCTAGGCTGTATGGGAAACGGTTCTGCGACCTTTACGATGACTGAAAAATTTGGGGCAACGTGTCTGCTTCAAATTTTGCATAGAGATCAGCAAATCCGTAAACGAGGCACTGGAAATGTCGTCAGGCTTTTTAGAGAACCTTATTGGGTTAGGGTTAGAATAGGTCGAACTCATGTTTTGGAGTGGCACACACGATTCAAAGGACGGTCGCGTGTCGGTTCAAATCGATGTGTTCTTAGGGAGAGCTATCAACTGCAACACGCCAAAAAAATGTGGATAAAGGAAATGTTAACCCGCGTTGACGTGGTTCATCCCCGAACGATCCACCAGCTGCCTCCTATAAATGGCCCCATTGGTGGAGCCTCTCATGAGATTCTATCCAAAGAGTTATCCGATACAACCTTGAATAAGAGATCGATCATGACGTACTAATGGGACTCGATTTGATTTCGATGATCATTCGTGACGAAAAGAATTTCTAACGTACAAAATAATGAACAACATTTTTTATTTATTTATACCTTTGGAAAACGCACAGGGTTTGCTAAAAGTGAAAATTAATCCGCGAGTTATGAAAGAAAAGTGTGAAAATAAAAAAATATAAGAAAACGAATACTTCTTGCAATTGTTAATTACAATAGCATCTTTGCTACTACCACCAATGCGACAGCCACTGCAACTACTGCTGTTTCCGTCTCTGCTACTTGTACAAAGATTTGTATTATTTTTACTGTTAGGTCGACAGCTTTGCCTTGAGGTTCTGTTATGATCCTTCGTCGCCAAGAAGCACGTTACATTGTTTATAATCGGTGTTATTTTTGTTTGTTGGTTCGTTCTTGAAGAAACAAGAAAACAAAACAGAAGAAAGATTTTTGAGACTTAATACAATATCATGTTCAGGAGAGGAAACCTCTCGCAGGCAAAATTCAGTAATAACGCTAAATAATTTAATAACGTTGTTATTATCATTTTCCATATTGATATTACAGTATTATTGCTTCCATTTCCGCCATTGCAAATTCGGCTCTTTATTTGCCTTTAGTTTTGAAATTATCTGCATTAATCATTGCCCAACTGCAGTTGCTGATATTATTGCAACTATTCATCGGGATAGGATATTTGGCTCTCGGTTTCAATATCGTAATCATCGTAAACTTCACCTTTCTCTATTTCCCTCTCATAACAATGCTATCACAATCATCATCGTCATCATTATTCTCGTCGTCATTTCCGTCTTTATTTCTTTTCTTATGGTATGTTATCAAAATCATCAAGATAATCATTATCATCATCAGTTGGTTTACGATCACCGAAGTTAAGCAACGTCGTGCTTGGTCAGTATCTAGATGGGTGACCACCTGGGAATACCAGGTGCTGTAAGATTGGATGAGATGTGCGGTTGTTGTGATGGGTAATAATTCTGAATTTTTAATTGGAGAGCGATATTTATTTCCGCTTATTTACAGAAAATGTGGCACAAGGCCAAAAAGGACGGTCTTGTTCCGTCTTAAATTTAATCTTAGCTAACCACAAACACTGACCCAAACATACTACAATATTCCTAACACCAAAATAAGCATTCTCACCACTTACCTTTCTTACTACCTCCACCATAATACTGCAGTGTCTCTATGAAAACTAATCTCCATATGTACAATTCATTGTCTGCGTCTGCGTGTGTGTGTGTGCGGGGTGGGGGGTGGGGGAGAATAAAAAACAAATTGAAAAAATTGCCCCAATGAGTATTTACAATATGAAACAAAACTATATACAATAAACTAAACAAAATAATGTTAGTAATACCCCTCCACACACACAATGTGGCAGAAACCTCAGTTAACTCAATGTGGGACTATAATAATATAAAACATTCATTCATCCCAGGCACTCACACAGACATGCACACATTTAGGCACAACAACAAATATGAAAAACGAAAGCCCCCCCTACCTCCTTGCATCCACCAGAGAACTGACATCACTGACCACCTAACGAGGGAAGGGATGGGGAATTAAACCCAAAAACAAGACAAAAAAAAAAAAAAAACATTGGGGATAGTAATAAAAGGTGCCAATATGCATACATCCACTAGCTAAGTTAACCGGAATGAAACTAAGTCGGTTAATCGGAGAGCTGAGTTCTAATTCCAGTTGGGTTCGTTATATTCACTTACGCGTAAATACCCTTGGGAAAGATACACATCGATCTCCCCGCCCCCAAGATGAAATAATTAGTACTACTTGCATCACTAAATAATTATTATCTAAAAAAAATCTTACAGCCTAAACATATTTTCTGGCTTTAAATAAATCTGCAAAGGGTTGGTAAGCCGTAGAAAATCAATCAACAATCATCATCAATTCTGTTTATATTTTCATCATCATCATTATCTGTTCTTTTTTCTCCTTATTGAATTTTCTCATAATCATTATTATTATTGCCATCATCATCATCATTATCAGCATCATCCCTCTGTCTTTAATTCTTTTTCATTATTGAATTTTATCAAAATCACCAATAGGATTTTATTTTTTTAGTCGTTGGAAGATTTCATGGTTTCGTATGATCAAATCCCAACCGTTTGCATAATTCCCAGTGTATCATTACCCCCTATCAACTCATGTCGACTTTTGTGCTTCCTCGGAGACAATTTGCATAAATGATGATCATATTTGTATCGTCTTATAATCGTCATTTACTTTTCTGTCGTGTTCCGTTTATCTCAGTCTAAATTGTTTGTTCATATAGAATATTTCTGACTCGGCATTTTGAAAAGTTCAAAGCTTTTCGCAGGATCATCGGTTTTCTTGTTCTTTGATCCAGATTTAGAAAGGGGCGAAAGACAAGGATGCATCTTCTCACCAGATTTATTCGACCTCTACAGTGAGGCTATCCTGGAGATCCTAGCAGGAGTCATTATGGATGGGCGTTATTTTAAAGATATAAGATATGCAGACGACCGACGCACAAAAGAAAAGAAAAACTACTGGCCCTCTTAGACAAGATAGTAAAGGAAAGCGAGAAGAAAGGACTAACCGTCAACTGCAAAAGGAGAATATGTATGGTCATCAGCAAAATAGGAAAAACCCAAGATGCGAATTAGAAATTCGAGATGTCAACATTAAGCAGGTGCAGAAGGTTAAATAACTGCGAATTGTTTTAACAGAGGATCGAAAAAGCAACACCAAAATCTGAACACGCAACGGATTAGCGAAAGATGCTTTCCAAAAGCCAAGCAAAGTACTAAGAAACAAGAAAAAAATCATTAGAAACAAAGAAAAGAGTGCTGGATTGCTGTGTAACATCGATCCACTTTTATGTCAGTGGGCAATCTCCCTACAAATAATGAGAAAACTAGAAGCAACAGAAATGTGGTTCTACACTGAAAATTTCATGGATGGAACAACGAAAAAAAAGTCTTAAAGAAAGTGGAAACAAAAATGGAACTTATATTCACCGCCAGAAAAAGACTGTTGATATTCCTTGAACGTATAATGAGGAAACAGTGTTTGGAGAATTTAAAACTCACAATGAATATCGACGTCAGTAACTACAAAGGAAGGCAGTGGGTTACCTACTTGATAAGCCTGTGTGAATGGATGTCGGAAGGCTTTAGGTTTGTCAAAGGGACAAACTTTGCTAAAGGCTACAAGGAATAAGAGGTTGTGGAGAGATATGATCATCCACGTCCTGATGGAACACGAAACCTTGAAGATGATCCACTCTAGGAGGAGTTCAATAACAAACAGACAGAGGCTACAACTTTATATATAGAGATAATTTTCTTTTGCTGTTTAACGTTCTAGTAATTTTCTGTCTGTAGTTCATTTCCTTCTGTTGCTACACGTTTTCTTTTGTGCATCTCTAACTTTGCATATTTCTCGATTCCGAACTCTTTTCTAATTACGCAGTTTAGGTTATTGTTGGCATCAAACTTTCTAAATAATTACTATTTTTGACAAATATTCATTCAGTAGATGAGTGAGTTATTTTTTTTTTAATATCTTTATGAATTTCTAGTTTAATTATTATCACCGTTACTGTTCCCAGTGCTACAGACAAGATTAATTGCTCACATAAAAGGTTCAGTAAAAATATCAAATTACAAAAATTCATTTGTTGAAGATATTAAAGAATTGAAGCTGTGTTATAAACTACACTCCGATGACCTGGGAACGTCGAAAGAATAGAATATTTTAATTTCCCAAGATGGTCCTCTTTGGGAATTAACCTCTAGTGGTTGTACAAGTCTGGTTCTACTGTAAATATATGTTTCTTTTACCGATGCTTACAGGGTTCACTCAAGGTAGAGACTTACTGAATGATGAGTGTGGTATAAACGTAAGAGGAGAAATCAGGAAGTTAGGATATGGAGGATATACACTGGTTGGCTCTAGACTTTAAGAGGTTAACATTGTAGTGTTTTGGGAAGCATCCACGCGGGAATTTGATCCACAAAGTAACGGTTCTTTGAAAGGTTTCAGAGCGGAAATTCCTACTTAGAAATGGTGTAGGAAGATAATTGGCGTGGTGACCCTGTGCATGTAGCATGGCGGGTCTTAGCTGTAAAGGTCTGAACTGGTCGAACTAAAGAAAGGATCATGGAAACAGCAACAGAGTAACGAGAGGCTTTAAGGTTTGTCTCAGTGGGAGACGTGTTACGGGGTGAAAAATAATTCACCACCAAAAAGGCCGCGTCTGTGAAAGCTGGAAAGTGAAGTTTGGACAACTCCTGCCAAAATATGGCAGCAATAATTCATACTTGGTCGGATCTGACTCTTGTATAGATACCCATGACAGAAAGCGAAGGAGTTCTCAGAGTGATACAAGGAAGCGACCGTTTTAGTTTGAGCGTCTTTACCGACGGGGATGGGGATATATATATATATATATATATATATATATATATATATATATATATATATATATATAGTTGGATGGCAACTGGTCTAGGAGAAGGACAACTTTGAATTCAAAACCTGCGGAGGGTCGTTTGGGGACCTTGTGGTACTTAGTGCACCAGGTCTCTGAATTCGGCCCTTCAAAATGTGTGGATGGTCCTGCACGAAACCTTCACCACTATAATCAAATCTCATGTGCTGTTGCCGGGCTGTCGGTTTCCTGGGAACTGATCTGCTTGACCTTTATACGTCGACGGCAGAGTCGACTACTATATATATATATATATATATATATATATATATATATATATGAGTTCCACTTGAGATTTAGAGTGAACGAGTCCTAACAGACATTCAAACCAAAGAAACTCATTGAGTGTAACCGTTCACCATGACCGGAATGAATTCAGAGCCTGTTTGGTAATGAAATGTTACTAGCTTCGTTTTTGGAAGGATTGAAAGTTAGGGCCTCATGTAAAGGTTCCTCGTCTGTAGATTCAGCCAACACCGGTGCGGAACAGAGGCAACTGACAAATCGATACGGATGTATCGTTGAATCAAGCCTCAAAAAAGGAAACAGACAATAGGGACAGTTTTTTAAGGTTGGAAACCTCAACCAACTTTCCGACCGTCTACAGTCAATGTACCAACGAATGCAAAGTATCGCTTCTTATATGATAGCCTGTAACCTTTCAAGTGAATTCATCGTTATCATCATCATTATCATCATCCTCATGACCGGGTGTAGTCGTGGAGTTGCTGCTGACCAGTCCTATCCACATAATTGGGTTAAAAGCCGGAGATGTAATCATTCGTGTGCATCGTCTCTTCGGTAAGAAGCCCTGGTAGAGACCATCAATCTCCAGGCCAAATCACAACCGATGTCCTCTAGCTTTGGTCACGGACACGCGGCCGTTAATTCCAGCAGAGGAACCCTTCCATCCAGCCGTCGACTTCAGAGTCTAGAAAAAAACTTGTGTTACTCCATCATTATTATCTCAAAAAACAAAACAAAAATTAAAAATAACAAAAAACAAACAAAATTTAAAAAAAAAAACCCAAAAAAAACAAAACAAAAATAAAAAAAAAAAAACAAAAATCAACCAAAAAAAAAAAAAAAAACCTCTAAAACAAAACAGAACACAAATCGAAATCTTTTAGCCTAAAAATATTGTCTGGCATTAAATAAATCGGCCATGGGTTGATAAGCCGTAGAAAATCAATCAGTTCTATTTATATTTTTTAACATCATCATCATTATCAATATCAGTTCTATTTTCTCATTATTGAATTTTATCATAATTATTATTATTTTTGCTATTATCAACATCATCATCAACAACATCATTACTGACTTTATTTTTTCACCGTATCATTCCGCACAGGTTACATGCACAGCTTTGGAACCCAGTCTACTCCACTGTGCTGGATGTACATTCACCCTATAAGAAGATTCATTGACTTTTTAAAAATTCTGGA